CCGTGGCTCCCTGCCCCCTCTCCAGCGCCGGGCTGCCTGCCCCGAGGTGCCGGAGGCTGCCCACGGTCCTCGGAGGCTGCAAAGAGATGAAGATGCCTGCGGCCAGAGTCTGGAGCAGCTGCGGGGGTGCAGCGCGTAGGCAGCTGGGTGCTAGACTGCGAGTCCGGAGACCTGGGGTCTGGCCAAGTCTCTGCCACGTGACTGCCATGTTTCCTTGGGCAGGCTGCTTTCCCGGTGTCTCCAGGCAGGGAGACGGGGTCGTGCTTCGCGCGGTGCCCTTGGAAAAGGGATGGCTGGGGAAGAGGGGGGAGCCGGCTCCCCAAATGCCGTCTGCTCCGATCTCCCCCTGCCCCCACGCCACGGGCTGATGGAACAAAGCGCGGGCGCTGGAGCCGTGCGGATGGCTAGGTACCACCCAAGTGTAACGGGAGGAATCGGAGTGACCTCGGCTCCTTCCCCTCCCCTGCCAGGTGTCTCCAGCACAGCGAAGAGCGGGGCAGCATGAAGCAATGGCTTGCCCCGATCAAATCCTGCAGGCTCTGCCCGGTCCGGAGCAGGCCGCGGAGCCGGAGGTCTGGCTGAGAAGCAAACACAGCTGAATTAGCCAGGACCTTTAGTCGCGATGGGCGGCCTGAATGGCGCTAGTCAAGGGTGTGATGTGACCTTCTCTGCTGGGTAGGAGCCAGGAAGGTGCTGCTCCCCCCACCAGACCCCGCCGCCCGTCTAGACGGGGTCGGAGTAGGGTTTGCACGGGACTGGAGCCATGCACGGGGCATCGGGCACGGCCCTGGCTCTAGCAGCGGTGCATCTTCCTTGCCGTGTTTGTCCCGCTGCGAGCCCGGTTTTGCCCCTGCTCGCTGGCGTAGGCCCCGGGCACCGATAGCAGGCACCGCGCTCGCCCCATAGCACGCAGACCAGGAGAGCGTGGCGACCCAGCCCAAAGCGCAGCGCTGGCCAGCGGAGTAGGAGTGCCTCCCTGTGGCAGCCTGTGCTGATGCCAGGGGTGCTTCTGCAGGCGGCCGGCACCGATTCTGTGCATCGCCCCCGAGCGCAGCAAGCCGGGTTCCCGTGCGGAGGGGTCACTTGTTAGGAGAACCCCAGGCAAGCAACCCCACTGCAAGGGGGGTGGACAGGGCTGCAAATCCAGGAGCGCGGACACTGGCTGCCTCTTGGATGGCATCGGAAGCTGCCTGAGCCCAGGGGATGCTCATCTCTCCTCCTGCACTGCTCAGTACTGGGTCTCATCCTGCGTTTGCCCTTCTTGTTGCACCCAGGCTGGACTGGCCGCAGCCCTGCACCCCCTGCGGCACAGTGGAGGCAGGATTGCAGCCGCCCTCCCCAGCCCCGCAGCAGGACGGCGGGGCGTTTGCAAGGGCTGGCTGACCAGAGGCAGGCTCTCCCGGGAGGCCGCGTTCACCTTGGCTGGCCTGATTTTTTGCCTCTGTCCTATTGATCCTCACCCGCTGCTGTGGGCGTGGGCAGAGCCCCGCGGGCCAAAGCTGCTCCCAGCGCGTCCCATTGGCTTCAGCAGCTTGCACCCAGCCCTGCAAAGAGCATGGAGAGCGGCGCTGAAGTCAAGGGGGGGGCTCGCAACCTGGGAGCCAGAGCGGTGCTTGGCAGGAAAGCAGGCACGCCCGGCCCATGCTGCCATGTCGTCTGGTCCAAGGGGCTCCCAGATGCACCGGGGACCCAGGGGTGGGGTGAGTGCAGTGGGGCCTGCTGCCGAAACCCAGGGCCCTGCTGGGGTATGTGTTGGGGGTGGGGAGGCAAGCGCCGGATGTGTTAACCCCCGTATGGTATTGCCCCCCACCCTGCTGCTGGGAGTGGCTCTGGCTCCAGCCCGCCAGGAGCCTCGCAGTCTGGATCCGACCCCGGGGGGCCAAGCTAGGACACCCCTGAGCTATACTTGCTCTCCAGGCGGTGGATCTCGCTCTTATTACAGGGCTCCCGGTCCTCTGGGGGGTTATTAAATCCACAGGCCCAGTGCCAGAGAGAGAAGTCGACTGCCCTAATGGGCAGCTGGAAAAATAGTTTGGAGCTGTGGGTGATGCTGGGGCTGGCGGTCATCACGGGGCTGGCTCCAGCAAAGCTTGTCAGAGCTCATCTCCCGGGTCCAGCCAGGTCCAGAGACGTGTTTTTAATCCCCCATGGTGTGAGGAGCCAGCTCGGGTCGTGGGGACTGTCTGGCAGCAGATCTGACGGGCTGCTCCAGAGCTGGGCTCTTGGTGGGAGCTGAGACCTGAAGGAGCGGGCCGGCGGGGGCCAGGCAGAGCCACCAGACCGAGGTGGATTTGCTGATGACGGCAGCCAGCCAAGGAGACGATCCCCGCGCTCTCTGACCTGGCCCTTGGCTTGCCTCCTACAGCCTGGTCTCCAGCTGTGCCCACAGGGTTGTGTGTGCCAGCTCCAGCTGCGCGGCCACGCCGGCATCCTTGGGAACGGGAGCTGCCTCTGCCTGGTGCCTTGAGCAGCCTTGTTAGCACTGCCGATGAGCCCAGCCTGAGCTAATTAGCCTGCCCGCGGCCGCACAGCACTGGGGTGGTCACTGCTCACTCTGTCCCATCCCGAACCCTTCTGTAGACCGGTCCGGCCCCCGGCTTCCCCCTCCCTCGGCCCTCACTGTCCTCTCCGTCTCCCCCGCAGTGGTCCACGCCGTCCGCACGGAAGACGGGGCCCTGGAGAACGGCATCCACCTGCTCAGCTCCTCGGAGGTGGACGAGCTCATCCACAAGGCTGACGAGGTGACCTTGAGCGAGGCCTCCGAGCGGGACTTCAAGGTCAAAGAGGCCCCGAAGGCGGGTGGGGAGAGCCACCCGCCCGGCCAGGCGCCCACGCCCCGAAAGGAGATCACGGGCGTGCAGGCCAAGCCGGTGGAGAGCCCCAAGCTCCTGGCCTCTGGCGAGGGTGCCGAGCCCAGCAAGGAGCAGCCGGTGACGATGATCTTCATGGGCTACCAGAACGTGGAGGACGAGAACGAGACCAAGAAGGTGCTGGGCCTGGAGGGCACCATCAAAGCCGAGCTGGTGGTGATTGAAGACGCGGAGAACAAGCCGGCACCGACCGCGGACTCCGTGGCCAAGAACCACGGCCCGCCCAACGGCAGCGCGGTGGCGCCCGTCACCACCGCCCCCCTGCCAACCAAGGAGGACGCCCAGGCCGGGGAGAAACCAGAGCCCAATGCCACCGATGCCAAGGCGGCAGAGCAGGACCTAGACATGAAGAAGCACCGTTGCAAGTGCTGCACGCTGATGTGAGCCCCCCCACCCCACACCTCCACCCCCCC